CGATAGGCATTGAAAACGAAGGCCTAAACCTCAAATGTCCTTATTTGGCATCCTCCATGAAATATTTGTTTAAGCTATTGTTTGAGAGTACGTGTACATGTACAAGTAAGTGTTGATATGATTGGGGTCTGGCTGGGCTGACTAAATGGACGCTGTGTATTCCTGTCACACCTGTAAATCATCAATATATATTTCAGAGAAGGGATATCAATTGCTTGAAATTGCTCCCAAATTTTGTGATTTCCTAAATACCCCTGTACACATGCGATGTATTTATGACTGTTTTTCTAACCTATTCATCATGATTATGATGACAGTCAGAGCTCGCCCACGCCCAACCAGCGTCTTGCACATTGATGACGCAAGGTAATGGTTATAAGAGAAAAAAATGACAATTTCCTGACAGTTTCGCAACAGAGTCTCCCTAGCTGGTACCAGTGCGATCGAAATTGAACAGCTGCTTCTTTTTTTTTGTGTGTGTGTTATTATTCGAGCGTAGAATTTTAATGAGGCAGTCACCCTGCTAGGTAAGCAAGCCCACTTGTGAAAATAACGCTGTGGAATCATCACACGGCTCTCTCGATGGTAACCATGGAAACCAGGAGCCATTGCCATAAATACATGTACATGCTGGATCACTGTCTAAGAATGGATCCGGCAGGATGTACATGTCGCCAGCAGATGTGCCCAAAGCTTATTTAATCATTGACGGAATTGTTAAATAAGCTGCTCTGTTGCCGTTTTCTGTGTAGAGCACCTTTGCTTATACAAATTCCTTGTTGACTTTCCTGTGTGTTCACTGTTGACGTGTATTTCACACACCGTGTTCCTTAACAACGTCCAAATGCTTGTTGGGAATTTGTGTAATGTTATAAAAATGCAGTTTGTGCCGGTGAGCTGCTTGTTGATGTGTACAAATAGGGGTCCTTGATTCACTGCAAGCTTTCTGGAAAAATTTATCTCCACTCACTGCTACTGCTGGTGATAAGATTAAATAACAAGAACATGTTAGCCACTTTAAGCAGTGTGAAGATCATACCGGTACAGGGGTGCATACATATGCACATGTACCAGAAAAAAAAAACACTTACATTTACATGTACAAGCATGTAACAGTGTGTATGACAAAAACTCTAGCACAAAAACCTTCAAATACAGTTACGTGTACATGTACCGTACATTAATTATTTTGGGGGTTCTGATTAAGAAGTACAATTTAAAAAAAACAACAACAAAAACTCAGCCAAATTTCACAGCTGTACAATTAGTGGAGGCTTAAATGTGAATTTTGGTGTTTTAAAGGAATTTGTTTGCTCAAGGAAGGATGACTTTTATCGTTTTTGGAAATTCTATGTCGGGAAATGACGTAGTGAAAATTTTGGTTTGTTGCTTTTTTTGTTTTCCCCCAGAACTGCAACTGTAGCAAAGGGCCGTTCTGCCTACACGTGCTGTTTGTCATGCTGAGAGTCTTCCAGGTGCCGGAGGGTGATCCTGTCCTATGGAGACGAACGCTCATGAATTACGAGGCATGTCAATACAAGTCGTTTGATACCAATCAATAATTAACACCTTGCCCGCAGGACAGGAATTCAAAGCTGTGATGTCATTTCCACTAAGAGCACTTTCACTTTGATTCATTTAGGCCTAATATTTGGATTTGAGGCCGTTAATGTTGATAATAGACACTTCCCATGGAAACGACTTCCATATAGCGAGTGACATCATAAACCAACATTGAGTCACAACAGAAAGAACTTTTCCGAGTTTTTATGTCTTTATTGTTACAAATGCAATATCACAAATATGAAGTGATTCACGTTGAGAGACAAATTTGTTTCTTTACATGGGCACAACTTGTTTTGTGCTGTATTGTAGTTTTTAACTTCACGTACATGTGCAAATGCAGTGACAGTGAAAGTTCTCCTTATTCATGCCGATGAAAAATTGTGAGCATTGGAAGCATTAGTTAGTGATTGAAATGTTAATTTCTCATATTCGCACAATTTCATCAAGCCACATGGAGAAGTACTTGATGCAAATAAACGGACAATGTCATGGATGAGTCTGTCACAGTTCAAATCACAATTCTTGGTCATAAGTACACGTACACGTATAAGTACAACCAGTGGAAACCAGATGCCTTTGTCTTGTGTCTTTTGAATGGCACCTGAGGAATACGTGTACCACGAGACACAATAACTTTTAGGACTTTTGAGTTACAGGACTGCAATGTAATGCAATGGCTGAATTACACTGACACGTACGGTTTGCACTTAAAAAAAATTGCTTGATTTTAATGCCACCGATGTTATTAAGTACATTATTGTCCTGTCGCAGTGCTTGCAACATTCTGCAGTTGATAATTATAATGGAAAGACCTCGCGGCCTTGATATCCATGGCTAATAACATCTGATCAAAAGGCTTTTACATGTATGTACCAAATGACCACACTGTCCACACGATATCTGTGAGATCGGCCACCGGCCATAACTGTGGGCAAACAATTCACAGTAGTGCACCTCCAAGAGTTTGCAACGCGTTGACCCATCACAGTGCGTGAAATCTGTCGACCCTTTCCAAACGCACATTCGGTCGACAGATTTCGTTGCAAATTCTTGGAGGCGCACTATTGTGGAATGCCCGTGTTGGTTATCGGCCGCAAGCCACACATTGTGAAACGAGACAGAAACTGTGAATTCTTCATCAAATAGCTCAGTGGGCATTGTTATTCCTGTGATCTAGAATGGATAATGTACATGTATTTCCATATACATACATGTACATGTACTGTGCGTGGCACCGTAACAAGTCTTTGCTTACAGTGGTGAATGTCCACAGGTCACATTAGTCAGTGAGAGCCCGTGTACTGTAGAAAAGCTGCTATGACTGACTGTACTTTAAGTTCATGAGGTTAAGAACTCAGTGATGTACATATTAGTTTGCGCCTTGTAAAGTTCTCAAGTTAGCAGGAGCAGTTTGGAATTCCCTTTGTAATGTTAGCGTTTCATTCCAACAGGTGGAGGCGCTGTTCAAAAACTATCAAGCGAGGCAGAACAAGCGGCTGAAGCGCTCAACCAAGTCTACCAGTCAGCGGGAGAGGAAGTCGTCCCATGATGCCTCAGCAACACCAGCAACCACAAGCTCAGGCACCAATTCGCTCAACAGCACATCAAGTAGTGACCAGAGGTATGGTAACCAATCCAGTCTGAGCACAAGTATCATTGAAAGACAGAAGTTAGGTTTAGAGACCATACTGACTGGATTGTCAAAGTTGAGGGCTAAAGTCACTATGCCCCAAGTTTGGAGGCCCGTATATTTGCTATATATTTTATATATGTTGGCTGCCATATTCTGTTACAGCTTCTTTTACGTGACCTCATTTTAGAAGAAAATACATAACCATCAGGCTGTGTTGCACATGTAGTTGAGACCATCGCAAGACCAGACACAAGACTAGTCACAAGACCAGACACAAGGCCAGACACAAGACCAGTCACAAGACCAGACACAAGACCAGTCACAAGACCAGTCACAAGACCAGACACAAGACCAGTCACAAGACCAGTCACAAGTACCAGGGTGAACAATGACAAAAGAATGCTTTTGTTGCAGTTCATTTGAATAAATTTTGACTTAAATTCAGACTGGGGGCCTTTTGTTGGTCTTTCAATGATCTTGTGATGTTCTTAAGAGGTTACCTCAGGTGTCAGGCATCAGGTGTATCAAAGCAAGTATTTCCCACGTCTTTAACCCACAGTGGTTTAGTTACTGCTTAGAAACACCAATCAAAATCATGGAGGATTGAAACGTACTATCATTGCAACATTTACAATCAGCACAAGGCCCTGCTTGGAAGTACTGCAGAAATTGAATTATAAAAAAAGAGGTACAATGAGATTTCTTGTTGGTCTCTCAGCAACAAGGAGGAGGATTTGTGTCCAATCTGCCTCTTGGAGATGGTGGACGGTGAGAGCCTGGTAGTCTGCCAAGATGGTTGCCGCAATAGACTGCACCACCACTGTGTAGCCATCTGTAAGTATTTGTATAATCTAAACATGCTGGAAGTGTTTGCTGTTTTAGATGGAATTGAAGTACTTGAAATAATGAGCATTTTTTTCATAAGAGATGCACTAACTAATGCTTTGGATGTAATACATTTATGTTCATTATTTTTGACTTGAAAAACAGGGGCAGCCGAGTGCGAACGTCAGAATGATCCCCTCAACTGCCCCCTCTGCCGCACAAAGTGGGACACGCCGCCTGAGGATGGGAGTGAGGCACCCCCCAACACAAGGAAGCCCTCCCCAGCTCAATCCCCTAGGCTGATGAGGCGAGCCAGCCGGCAGAACTCAGAGGCCAGCGAGTTGCCCGTGGAAACACAGCCCTGGATTGAGGTACGCAGTCTGCTTGAACTTTAAGTGGAGTGTTGACCTATCTGCATGTTTTTCACAAGATATCATTCTATCATATGATTTTGAGGTTAATTTACTCAGTTATTTCAGTCAGGAATTGCTGCTGCTTTTCTCTTTCTTTTGCCCCATTTTCATTGACTACTGGTACTTTAATGTTTCAATCCTAAACAAACTCTTGAAATCAGTCAATTAATTCACAGTCACTTTTCTCTAGGACACCAATATGTATATTGTGGCTGGATTAATCAGTTAGGCTATGGCTATAGTTTGTGGCAGTGAAGTGCTGAAGTGACTGTTGTAGCCATAGACAAAACCCTGTGATCAAAATGGTGTCACGACAAATAGTGTCCTTCGTGGAACATTGAGCCCTTGCCTAGAGCTACCACCTCCCTGAACAAAAACAGATATGCTGTATGCTCAAGTGCCCAATCTTGGCTACACCCACTTTACATTCCTTGTTTTGAACACCTGCTCGGAAAGTAAGTGTACAGATCTATAGAAGTTGTACATGCATCAGTTACCAAGCTGAAGAATGAACTTAGAATAAAAAGTGTTTTAATTTGATCAACTGCCCACAAGAAAGAAATCTTGGAATTTTTTTGGCTTTTTCTGTTGTTTTTTTTTCACTGTTACGTTATTTACGTTAACCAAACACAGGGACGATTACGGTTGTGCACGTGTATGTACATGAACTTGAAATTGCTCTTGAAATATACTTGAAAACCCTTGATTTTCAACCAGCTGTTCTCTGAGGATCTCATCCGTCCACTGTTCTCAAGGGAGTGGTCTCTTAGGGAGAGTGGGTTCCACCACTTGAGGCCAGCCATACGTGCCAGGATCCAGCCCCAGGAGGCTTCGGGCTACACAGCTGATGAAGAGGCAGTGATCAAGATCTGCTGTAGGATCTTAGCCCTTGGCTGTTCGGATCCTGTCTACAAAGTCTACGTCGCTGCTCTGGTAAGATTAATCACCCGTCTGGGCTCTGTTTTGTGACTGTTTAGACCACAGAATGTTGTGTGTGGCATGGTGCACCATTTTTCTGCTGACTCTTGTAAGTTCGTAAGCACGAAACCTCACTGCAAACCGATGTATTGCTTGATAGTATCTAGTTTTCTTTTTCGTTTTTGATGCAGAAAGGACTTCGCACCATGCTTTCCTGCATTCAGTGCTTCAGCGAGACTGACCGACACCTCTTGAGAGAAGAACTTCGGCAAGTTGTCGAACCCATCCTCTTCAAATGTGCTGACGGAACCAGGTAAAGTTTTCCCTTTGCTGAGATGAGGGTCCAGTTTTGTGGACCAGCCAGGTGCAAAATATCTGCTCGGCCCAAAAAACTGCTCAGCAAAAAGTTGTATCACCCAAATTCTTTGCATACTACTTTTAACTGATCCTCATCTGATTTCTGCGTGGTACCTGAACTTGTTCACCAGTATTGTATTCACCAGTCCAGACATACCATACCAGTCACCGGCAATCCATTGGTAATGATCTGAGATACCAGTGTCGATTTTTGTTCCGTGTTGCTAACAGACGTACCAGCCAGCTGTCCATATCAGCTTTAATTGAACTCAGCAAAGGACAGGCAGGGGAGCTAGCAGTTGGACGAGAAGTCTCAGCCTCTGGTAAGAACCGGCCACCTTCTTAGCATGCGGCCTCTTTGCTAGTGACAGACATGCACAGCTTTGTGAGACTTCTAAAGAATCATCCTTTTAAAACTTGGACAGTTTCGAAGCTGTTTCAGAAAGTCTCCACACAAAGAAAACCTCATTTTTTTTTTTGCATTCCAAACAGCTCTCGAACCACTCGTACAGTCTGCTCAGTGCATTTCGTAGAAGAGTCGTTGGCCAAATGAACATACACTTGGACTTAATTTTAAGTCTGCCAGCATACGGATACTTGGTAACCAACTTTATTGGCATAAACTTGAAAGTTTTTTAAGTTGTAAAGCACTGTAGATATTCTGATTGATCAGAGAAATGGTTGCCAGAAATAGATCAAGTCTTAAACTTTGTAACTAAACACTTACATTCCAAGGGCATATAACCTTTCAACTAAATGGTAGATGAAAATTGCTTGAAGAATTCATATGCACGGTAATCCCACAGACATTTTGCGGGATTAGTGGTAATTTGGGGGTTGTAACAAGTACTTGAATTTCTTACATAGATTTTGTTGGCCTTGGTGGTGTGGAGTATGTGGAAGAATGCATATTTGACTCCTCGCTGTCCTTTGAGCCGGCTTGGCAACCACATCTCGGCCGCCTCTGCGTCTTAGAGAAGCTGATGAAGGAGTTCCCAGAGGAGTACATGCCCAGCGAGGAGGTCGGGTCACTGCAGATGGCTGGCTGCGACCGCCTGATGAGGATGCTCCGCTTTGCACTGACTGCCGCCCGCAACGGCCACAGCCGAATCTGCAAGCTGGGCAAGAGGGTGTTTGTCAACGTTGCACGGAACACGGTCCATGTGCCTGTGGTCTACCAGAGGGTGTGCGACTCCATCCTGGAGCTGGAGGCGGACCTCCAACACGGTCTACGGCGACGCTTGACCAACATCCTGGATGACTTTGAGGCGTCAAGGAATGTCGCCGAACGGTTGCAAGAGACTGATCTGCATATATATGGCAGGGTAGTGCAGGATAACGGTGAAACCTCTAGTCACGAAGAGGATGAACTACTCAGCTTTGTCGGAGAACGTCTGGAGGCTGAGACACCTGAGAAGCGACCTCAAAATGACAAGGATCCAAAACCTGTTGCAGTTGTTTCTGAAGGTATCCTCACACCACCTCAGACGCCACCTGTACGCCGCTCTTCACAATCTAAACAGACGCTCTCCAAAATCCCACAGTTGAGACAAGACAGGCACATGTCAGGCAGGCCTCATCTTGCCCTCAAAGCTGAAAACAGACCCGGTGCAAGTGATTTCACGCCCATCCAGTGCGAAGGAGAAGCTGCGGCCTCCAAGACGGAGGACCTCTCAGACCTGTCCCTGTCCATCTCTCCGTGTTCCCCCACTGACCGCGCCATCACCTTTAAGAGCGAAATTGCCAAGGCCAGCACGCTGTCCCCGAAGCACGCCCCTGGAGGCCTGAGCTGCAAGGAACAGATCGAGATGGAGGAGGCAGAGGCCATGGCTGTGGCCATAGTGGCTTCGACCATTCAGAGTCCTCTCCCGGTTGTTCCAGGTTTGACTCCTGGGAAAGGCGAAGACGTGATAGTTCACGTTCAAAGTGAGGTAAGCATGCTTGTTTGTAGTTGGTAAAATAACAATGGTCAGTGTTAATGACTTGACTGAGACTCAAGTTGATTTGACTCGAGTGGCAATATTGCTGACTTGAGACTTACATGTAACTCGATTTGAAAAAAAATAATAGACTTGTGACTTGAATTCTGAGAAATGACTTGGGATTTGACTCAAGAAAAAACATTATGACTTGCAATTTGATTTGGGAAAAATTGCTGTGTGATTTGACCTGTGGAAAAACGACTTGTGACACGATTTGACTCTTAGAAAAAGGACTTGGTGATGACACTGATAATAGTTAACAACAGAAAATAGATCAAGGAATCTGCTTTAGCCTCCTATTTTTGAATTTTTTATGACTACCCTCTGTTCTCAGGATGGCGAAACCCCTCGAGAAAAGTGCTACGTGGAGAGAGAACACTGGGTGAAGGGAGTCCTCTTGGGTACTGGAGCTTTCTCCAGTTGCTACCAGTCCAGGGACATCAGAACAGGGACCCTCATGGCCGTCAAACAGGTAGGTACAATTCCGGCCCCTTCCATTCCAATGCACTTGCTTTGCGAGTCAGCCATATTGAATTGAAAGCGAGGTTAAATTTTCATGTTGAGAACCTGAGAGTAAAAATAAAAGCAGGGGGAAATGAAAGTTCATGATAAACTAATGTCAATTTCACTGACCAGTAATTCAGTAGCCTTATTGTTTTAAGCCTAAAGTAAAAAAGTAACAGTGAGGCTTGGAATCCTAAACAGTCTGGCACCATTCCATGTAACAGATTAACCACTTGCTGCCAGGGAACCCGTTTCGAGCACCGTTGGTTTATACGCAGAGCCAGGGTGCCTGAAATGGGACAAAAGAGCTGGTCCGTGTAACAGAAGACCGTACTCGGGACAAAAGACCTGCTGCTGAGAATTACCATCATTTTTTGGCTTGCATTTTTCGAAGGTAATCGGTCACTGTTTTTAAACAGTGTACCACTGTTTTGGGCATAGCACGCCCATGGATTAGTACAAAAGTGCTCCAGGGCCGCATTGACGAGCGACACAGCACCGCTGCTTGCTAATCCAGCCGCGTTTGAAAAGACGTCACTCTCATTCGCTTGAGACAAAGGAAATTACTCAACACCTCCCAATTCTGGGTTCTCTTTACACGGTGGCAGGCCTGGCTAAAATATTCAGGAGTCAATGAATGGTTCATCCATTAAATAAAATGATGAATTTTTGAAAAATTTTGAAAACTGAAATCTTGAAAATCGCCTGTATGTGTGCACTGCATTTTAAAAGCACCCGGCTGCATGTGGTTAAACAAGATAGCTTTCAGGGCACACAATAAGCCTTTTGCGAGTTAACTATGAATAAATCTGTTACACTGAGTTACATGTATCTGATTACACATAAACATAGAAATGTGAATTCCCCAGACTGAAGATACTATTGCTTTACCTCATGATTCGGGGCAAGCTATTGCATAGCGACCACCATCCCTGGAATGGACTGGTTCCCTTGTGCCCTTCTTATTCATTGAAAACAGCGTATTGGTGTAAGGCCTCTCTTACGCAACTAAGCAAAAGCTTGCCTCTTATCACGAGATATAGCAACAATATCTTTAGTATGGAAAATTCTAATCGTTATGAATTTAAAAAACTCAGTGTACTAGATTTTATTTAAATCTAACTCGCAAAAGGCTTATTGAAAATGGCTTCACTGTGAACAAGGACCTTTTTACACATGAAGAGCATTGATCTTAGTTGCCCGTGTAATGCAGTTACATTTCACTGCAACCATTGAAAGTGCATTTTTGTGCAACACGTATGGTACCTGTACTTCACTTTCAGTTTGTGAATTTCTCTTCCTCCGCAGGTATCCTTCATTCGGAACACAAAATATGACCAGGACAAAGTTGTGGAGTCGCTGATGCGAGAAATCAACCTCATGAAGGAGTTGAACCACCCAAACCTTGTCAGACTGCTGGGCGCGACAAGACACAATGGACACTTCAACGTTTTTGTTGAATGGATGGCAGGTAATTATAATTTCCCAAGAAGTGACCAAAACAACCTAAAAAAAAGAGGGTTTAACAATTCAGGAGGGAAGTTCTGAAGTGATATTTTCCTTGTATATGGAAAGAAAGTTCCGTGCAAACACCGGGGCGAACCTGAGGCTACTGGTTATAATGTTGTACTGTCTTTAGTCTTTTTTTTGCTTTTGACTTTTCATTATTTGCGTTGTGACAAATTTATTTGTAATTTTAGGAATGGACAGGCATTTTGAGTTACGTGAAAGGAATATTGCGTATTTCTTGGCATGCGCATCCTTTGTGGAAGTGTGGTAGTGAATTGGGAAAAAGGATTGAGTTTAGATTATTTGTGGTGGAAACAGGTAGCTTGTTGCTTAAATCATACAAAACTGGGATTCACGTATGTTGGTGGTGTTTCAAAAGGGTTCTTTCGGGTCTGTCTTGGTTGTCGTGTTCGTTCGTTTCGGATAGGGGAAAGGGATAACAGTGGTCATGCAGCCGATACCATGAAACAGTTTGGAGTGTGAAACTTCGCTTATGCCACATTTGATAGTGTAAGCTCGCTGCCCAGCTATTCCACAATTTTAGGGCATAGGAATTGTATAAAGTGTAAAGTCATGCCCAGTTTCATGAAATCGGCTGCAGGTCTAGCTCTCTCTGGGTAAATACTATCCACGCTCCTTCCAGCTCGCCCTTGAGCATATGTCCACCCTCTGTATCTATGTACCTGTCTTCTCACCCCACCCCAGGTGGTTCTGTGTCCTCGGTTCTGTCAGCTTATGGTGCCTTTGAGGAGCCGGTGGTTCTTAAGTATACAAAACAGCTGTTGACGGGGGTTGCGTTCCTACACAGCAAGCATGTCATACACAGGGATCTCAAAGGTATCAAGGAATTATTAGGACAAGCAGCACCTGTGTCAACAATACTGGTAGCCTTGACTGTACTTGTAACCAACACAGTGGCCATATTCGAAACCCTGTTCACTTAGTGTTGATTCTCCCCATTCTCGTGTTTGTCTAACTCGAGAACGGGGTTTCGAACGGGGAGAATCAACACGCGAACATTGTTCACGAACAAGATTCTCACTCCTCACTTTCTGGGGAGTGGATGGAGAACATCAAGAACAAAGATGGCGGATATTGGCACATACTGTAACTTAATGTTGGTTTTGTTTCATAAAATGGAAAACACACACAATAAGGAAAATGAAACCCAGGGCAAATACTCATGGCTATCGGAGAGAATTTACCTTGACCATTTAATATGGATATTTGGGGATTTTATTTAATGTGAGATGGTAAATGTCATGCCATCTTTTCATTTGGTGTCAAAATGGCGACTGCTATCTTGACCTTCAGCGCAGCTGCACTCCTTTTGCACTTAGGCGTTCGTAACCAACGACCCAAGAATACTGTTCGTGAGTCCCAAGAGAATGGAGTTTCGAATATGCCCAGTATTTACTTGTGCAACACCTTGCCCATAGACGCTGCATTTTGATTGGTCAAGAGTAGGTCACATGGTACTCTTCATTGTAAACCACTCTCCCTTAAAAAGATTCTGCAAGCAGCAACCAAAGCACTACATATATATTTGTGACAGCCAGAGCCAGAGAGAATTTGGAAAATTGCCAGTTTTTGGTTAATTTGAAGCCCAAACACAAGTACTTTTGAACCATTTTGTACAGGCCATCTCTCTCAAGTATTTCAGGAAGTGAAGCATGGCGGAAATGAACCATGAAGAATCTATGATTGAGGCATTATGAAGTGAAATATTAAGTCAGTGTAGAATTAATGTGCTGTAGCCTTCCTGAGTTGTTCTTTGAGCAGTCTGTTTACCCTTGGTTTCTCAACAGAAAATGCACATGTCCAGGGATCAACTTAGCTGCAAAGCTTTTCTTTAACCCTCGAAATAGTTAGCTCAGATCTTCATTCCATACAAAGTCTAACCTTTGTCTTTCATTTCGATTGGCAGGGGCTAATCTGCTTCTAGACAGTACCGGCCAGCACTTACGCATCGCCGACTTTGGCACAGCGGCACAAATGGCCTCAAAGGTCACAGCCGAAGGCGAGTTCAAAGGTGAACTCATCGGCACCATAGCATTCATGTCCCCCGAGGTGAGGTTAATAAACTGTTCATGGCTAAAACTATCTTCAGTTGGTGACGTTTTTTCATATTAGGCACAAGCTGATTTTTTTTTTTTTTCATGTGCACCTTTACATATTTACAAAACACAATACAAAGTCTTATTACAGCAGCCCAGAATATCCTCAAATGCGGTTGGTTTATTAGTGGTATGATTGTGATGTTAACCCGTTGACGGCGGGAATTTTTTTCCGAAAGCCGACTCCAAGAATTCCAGCCTCGCTTGGTGACGAAGGCCACCTGCCAAACTGCAACTTCTTGGTTTGTGGCCCTGCATGCACGCTTTGAATTACATAGTGAAAAGGCTCATTGTTCGGTGGCATGAGGCTCTACTCACGCTTCCACATTCCCGTTGCCTCTTTTCAAAGTGGGGACTATTGTGAAGCTGGTGATTATAATGCAAATTCGGTCTTTTCATTTCTTGGCAACACACAAAGGCCAATCACCAGATATACAAGAGCCAGGGTCTGCCTTCTTTCACTGTATTCGCTCGAGCGTGGGCCGAGAATAATAGCTGAAAAGCGGGCTGAGGATCTCAATTTTTACGGCGGCTCTTACTGTCTCCCAGCGCGAAGTGGTTAAATCATTGCTCGCGGATGTTATACTCACAGAAAACGTTACAGTTTCCAATTTCTATGAGAGTACTGTGTAGGTTAGAGATGAAGTGCAGCAAATGTGCTGTTGGTCTGTAGATGTGCATATGGCAATAATCACTCAACTTTCTCAACTAACATAGCAGTTGAATGATCTTATGTTACAGGTGTTACGGGGAGAGCAGTACGGGCGATCTTGCGACATTTGGAGCATAGGCTGTTGTATGATAGAGATGGCCACTGCCCACCCGCCTTGGAATGCCTCCGCAATCTCCAACCACCTGCAGCTCATCTTCAAGGTGAGACAAAGACTTGTGATGTGCTTTTTAGGTGAAGCTTTTCTCAAAGGGGTCCATGCAACGCTGGTTTGTTTTTTAATTGAAACCTTTGAGAATGCACTTTCAGTTTTTGCTTTGCTATTTTAAAGGTATTTTGGCACCCTTTTTGGTATGATGTTCACTTACATATTAATTATATGTAACGGGTTTGCCCTTACCCAACGTATATTAATAAGCACTGTATGCTCAGTGCTTTTCCGAGAGCTTGCGAAAAAAACCTCCCCCCCCCAAAAAAAAAATACATCTTGAAAACACTCACATATTCATCTGCATAAGTGAAACTGGAACGTTATTCCAAGGAGAAAACCTAAATATTGCATAGATTTGCGCACTAAAAAATTGCTTGAATTTTTGATGTTTTGCTGTTCTGAATTAACTTTCGTTGATGAATCGTTGTTGTGTGTCTGGAATATGGCAATGAAGTGATGCCTATTAGATTCCGTGCAAAGCCCCTTTTATAGAGGTTTTTTCCAGTTTTGTTTAAATCTTCTTCTTAACCAGTTTCATCAGTGTTTTGGATAAGAAACTGGGCTCCAATTGATGCCAAGGTCTGATTTTTGTTACTGTAAAGATCGCTAGTGCTGAAGGGCCACCCCCAATACCAGATGAGCTGTCCACGGCTACCAGGGACCTCATGCTGAGGTGCTTTGAGCATAAGCCCGAAAACAGGGAGTGTGCTGCTGACCTGCTGAAGCATGCCGTCTTCACCAGGTTGTGAAGGGATGGACAACAGGTTAGTTTCTGCCGAGTTGCATGATGCCCGCACACTGCAGCAAGTGGGTGAAACCCTGCTTTGAAAGTAATGGATGACAGGCTAGTTGCTTCCAGTGCACAGGGCTTGCACCAAACAGTAATCACCATTGTGTGAAAGTGATGGATGACAGGCTAGTGGCCTCCAATCTACAGGGCTTTCAACAACCAGTCGATACCCTGGTGTGAAAGTAATGGATGACAGGCTAGTGGCCTCCAAGCTGCAAGATGGATACTGCAGCAATCAGTTGGTACCCTGGCGTGAAAGTGATGGATGCCAGGCTGGTGGTCACCAAGCTTCAGGATGGATACGACAGCAATCAGTCGGTACCCTGGTGTGAAAGTAATGGATGACAGGCTAGTTGCTTCCAGTCTACAGGGCTTGCACCAAACAGTAATCACCAGGTTGTGAAAGTAATGGATGACAGGCTAGTGGCCTCCAATCTACAGGGGTTTCGCCAACCAGTCGGTACCCGAGTGTGAAAGTGATGGATGACAGGCTAGTGGCCTCCAAGCTGCAAGCTGGATACTGCAGCAATCAGTTGGTACCCTGGCGTGAAAGTGATGGATGCCAGGCTGGTGGTCACCAAGC